CCACGCCCAGCCCCGCCGCGTGCAGGAACCCCACGCCCTGCTCGCCGCCACACGAGGCACGATTCAATTTAAAGACAAGTAATAACAAGACAATATGGCTCAAAATTCTATTAAGGATAAGCAGTATTTCACTATAGTACTCTACGACTAATTCACCTACCGCATGAGCATCTGCATTCCCTTCGTTAGCCAGTTCCTCAAACATTTCCTTGCCCTTTTCAATGTCCAGGTCTACCCCCTCTCCGAAGATGTAGGACCAGGCGAGCTGGACGCGGGCGGGGGCGTAGCCGCGCTCCGCCGCGCGCTGCACCTGCAGCACGACGCCGCGCACGTCCGCGGACCGCCGCTCCAACTTCTGCATAGCCGCCTCAAACAACTCCTTGGCTGAAATGTATATTTCCACTAATATATGATGTACTTATCAACTGACATTATCATTTAAATAATATGTTATCAAGACAATGAGGTCGTTTTTTTTTATGCCAACACCAACCATGAGTTTTTATAAAATGTATGAGTCATGAGTATATATAAAATAAACCAATTTAACCTTCTTTCAGTTCAGGAGTTAACTCCGGTGGCTCTTTTTCAATACGCAAATCTTGTATAGTAGACAAGATGTCACCAATGTTTGTCTCTCCTTTCTGTACAACAAATAAAAAAAATCAAATATTTCACTGTAATAAAATTGTATAAGATTGGCATCAACACTATTAAAATGTGTTTATATTTAACCTTCCAGTACAAACCTGACGTTCAGGGTCATAGTCCCGAGTGGTCTTTGTACCGGTTTCAAACATCTGAGGTCCTATTTGTGTCAGAAAGGAATTTCCTTTAATGACTTTCAGGACATTTTTCATTTCGTTCACATTTTCCTCAGGGTTTTTTCTGGGATTCTTAAGAAGTTCTGTCAAACATAAATTATATCCAAAAATATAATGACATCAATTTAAGTCAAAACATAAATCTACTGAAGATTTGACTTCACGTGTAAAGTATAATACATGAATCATCAAAAATTCATACACTCATAGCATTGTTCAGATGAAGTTATTGTAGTCCTAATATTAACCTTTTAAAGTGTCCATTATCTCTTCATCCTTGTCGGGCTTGTCATTCATCGTGTCCGTAGCGTGTTGCAAATAAACCAAGTCTTGCTTCAGCCTCGTAAGATATTCCATAGTCGCTTTGGCTTTTGCATCGCTGTCCTCAGGAGGATCCGAATCTTCTTTCGTGTTCTCACTGTTCTTACGTTTTTCAGGGCCGAGAAGCTCTGCAGTCGCCAGACTAATATATAAGTAAATCACAAAGAGATGTAAACGACTCATGTTCCCGTAATAATTGGATTTTGTTACAGAATAAACAATTTTACGTGTCTAGTAAAATAAGATCATTAATTAGAACAACATAGTTTTAAACCACACAGTCTTCGCATACACTTTGATGTATACCAGAATTTACATTAAGTGGAGTCGATAATCATTTCGCTTTTATATGGTGATTGTTATTTCTAAAACCGCAATTGCAATATCTATTATCTTCTCGAATAAACAGATCAAAACATCAAAAAACACACGTCAGTTTGTGTAGCTATCAAAATCGTTATCTGTTAAATTTTCGTTTAGAAATTTGTTATGTAACTGAAAATGATCAAAATAAATGTATTCCTTTTTAACAATTTTAAAACATTTTTAATCAAATATTTTATTGTAGCTCTCTATAAATATAAATAGGTACCTTATATGACATCAATAAAAGATCTGTTGACCGTGGAAATCAGTTTATGTCTATTTCGTCACACCTTTGTTTCTAAACTTACTTTTGATGTGGTAGACATGTGACAGTGACACTGACAAATCGGGAGGCAATAATGTACAGCCACGATAATGCACGACCCAATAATGCACGGCCCAATAATCCGTGTACAAACAAAAGATTTTAGTACACGAATTATCGGGCCGTGCATTATTGGGCTGTACA